GACAATAATCTGTTCAATACTACATCTCTATTTGACTATTTACCATGGATCTTCGGTGGCTAATATTTTATCTTGTCTCAGTCGGTAAGTTGGTTCAACTGTTTCTTTTGTTGTGTTGTGCAGTTTTGCCCTTGGTGTTTGAGGATGAGAGTATGTCATGTAGTCACATTGTGACAGATGAATTTGCACAAAAATACTGCAGATTGGTTTGATACACAGCCTTTTGATTTGATATGTCTGTTTATTTTGCTATCCACACTTATGAAAAATAAGTTAGCTTAATTGCAATCACTTGTAGTGTATGTCAGATCTTACAAGTATATTTAAAAAAACTACTTGCAGATAATATAATAGTAATAAAATAAGATGCCACTTAAGTGCACTTAAAGAGAGACTTTCTTATGTTTCTTTACACACTTAAGTAGACTTTTAAAAAGTACATTTTGTAAAAATTTCAAATCATCAACTTTTTAGTTCATTATAAACTGAAGCAAAGGTGGAAAGTCCAGGGGTCAGAAAGTCAAAGTATTTTTATTACACCACAGCACAAACTCCAATCTGGGAGTTTATTTAGATGCAGACGCAAGAGTGTTAAAGTTAATTAGATAATTAAGTGAATAATTGTGTGACGATTGGCCATTATTGAAGACACCTGATGTTAACAAGCAGAATCACTAAAGGAGAAAATCTATATTTTAGTCACCATTATGACGATCAGTGTTTGCTTTAGATGGTCATTTGACCTTTGAATATTTAATTTAAGATTTTGTTTGGCTGTTGTAATTGAAGTTTAACAGCTAGATGAACAAAGAGAAAAGGTGATCAGATGTTGTTGGTTATGTTTTCACATAATCATTATTTGACCTGAATCACTGAACTCATATAGAATATAATCTTTGACTTTAATGTATAATGACCATATTATTCAATATAAACCAAATTATATCTTAAAAGTTTTTCTGATGAAAAAAAAATATTTTAGGTACACACATACATCAAGATTCAGTGTATGAATCTCAACAATGGTGACAAAGGAATATTCAATTAGGGACAATAAATTACTAAGACAATTTAGATCATAATTTATTCATACCGCAATGCATGATGGGATCCATTAATAAGTTTTGGGTGGCACCTAGAATGCACTGCAACATGCTATACAATTGTCACCATTATTGAGAATCACAGGCTGATTCTTGATGTCTGTGTCCAAATAAAATAAATTTTTAATAAGTATTTGGGATACTATTTAAAATACTGAAATGTTGCATTGTGTAATCAAAAGGTTAAACTCTACAAATGAGTTTTGTGACGAATGATGATTATGTCAAAACTATCTCATAAGCTTTCCATGTTTGTCATCTGGATGCTATAACTCGGGTACAACAGTCATAAAAAAAAACAAACAAACAAATATTAACAGATTAAGGGTCAAGAGTCCAACAAAAGCAAAAACTGACCACGTTAATGGTGACTTAAAAAATGTGACTTTCGCTTTAAGTGATTCTGCGTGTCAACATCGGGTGTCTTCAATAATGTTCAATTGTCACTCAATTATTCACTTAATTATATTAATTCACTTAATAAAATTATCTAATTAAATTTAACACTCTTGAGTTTTTATTGTGGGTGGAAAAAAATATGGCAGGACTTTTACTTTCTGACCCCTGGACTTTCCACCTCTGGTGTTAAGTTTAAATATATTGTATATAATGCATGTCAGTACATTCAGCAGTGACTTTAATCACATTTCAAAGAGTAGAAGTAATTATGCACTTACATGTAAAGATGCACTTAAGTCCTTCTTAAGTGGGTTAAAAAAACCCTCAAGTTCTGCTAACTGCTTGAAGTATAATGCATTTTCATTTTTATTTCATTAAGCATGCATTTACGTTTTCAAAAACATTACATTCAGTTTGTAAAAATGTACTCATAACCCCATCCCTACCCCTAAACCTAACTCTACCCATAACTTATCCCTAAAACCAGAAGGAAATGAAAAACACTGATGTAAAAACACCTAACCCGGGTTGTAAGCCTAAACTTAAACTCTAAACTGATGTGCGTTCTGCGCCTGCGTTTAAATGAGACAACTGTCTATTTCTGCAAATATATTCGTCTATATTCGTCATTCAAAAAGGAAAAACGATGCTACAATCCTGCTAAACAATATCTTTAACAATATCTGCTCATGTTAATATTGAAACAGTCCCCAAGGAACACTCAGGAAAGATGACATAACATAAGAACAGCCTTCTATCTTTACTGTTTATACTTCTTTGCTCGCTGTTTTGCTATTATGCTCGTGCACTGACACGTTCACTAAGCTGAATAGCCAATCAGAGTTCGACGCCATCCATGTCGAATCGGCCGAAACAAAGCCGACGAGATCCAGTGTCAGCCGACGGCAAGTAACAGTGCGGAACACACCGAGAAGACTTAGTCGGCTGACGCACAAAAACTGCCCGACGGCCGACCGTCGGCTTGGTGTGTTTCGGGCTTAAAGGGTTAGTTCACCCAAAAATGAAAATTAAGTCATTAATTACTCACCCCCATGCTGTACCAACCCCGTAAGACCTTCGTTCGTCTTCGGAACACAAATGAAGATATTTTTGATTAAATTTGAGAGCTGTATAACTACCACATTGGCTCCTAAGGGACTGCCTCTTGACGGCCCAAAAAGTCAATGAAGAAAATGTTTAAATATCCCAAGTGACTACCGTGGCTCAACTATATGTTTATCAAGCGACGCGAATACTTTTTGTGCGAAAAAACAAACAAAAATAACAAGTTTATTCGACTATTTCTTTTCTTCCTTGTAGGCCAGAACGAGACTTCCTTATAGATTTCCACGACGCATGCGCGAGAATTGCGATCTGAAGTAGTGTAAGCTGGTGTGAGCAGATCGCAAATCTCTCGCATGCGTCGTGGAAATCTAAGGAATTCTCGTTCTGGCCTACAAGGAAGAAAAGAAATAGTCGAATAAACTCGTTATTTTTGTTTGTTTTTTCGCACAAAAAGTATTCGCGTCGCTTGATAAACATATAGTTGAGCCACGGTAGTCACTTGGGATATTTAAACATTTTCTTCATTGACTTTCTGGGCCGTCAAGAGGCAGTCCCTTAGGAGCCAATGTGGTAGTTATACAGCTCTCAAATTTAATCAAAAATATCTTCATTTGTGTTCCGAAGACGAACGAAGGTCTTACGGGGTTGGTACAGCATGGGGGTGAGTAATTAATGACTTAATTTTCATTTTTGGGTGAACTAACCCTTTAAGATGTTGATGCAGGAACATGTTTTACTTGGTGAAACTATGTTCACCAAACAGGTACATAAGCATAGTTGCATTTTATATCTTCCTTTTAGCATTGTTATTATTGGATGTGTATTTATGAAAGGATGACTGTTGAACAGAAAAAAGGAACATATTCCATCTCTGTAAATGAAGGACATGAAGTGTCTCCTGCGCAGGGTGTGTGTCTGCTGCTGAAAACTGCAGTTATAAAGCACTTATCGAGTACCTCGGCTTGGACAACAGTGACGTTCTAATGACGTCCCTAAGGCCCGTGCATAACTGGACAACTCCTACCACTGTTTTGATGAACCTGCTTGTGACCTCCATCACAGAAGTGGTATAAATCCTGCGTGATTTGCTTGAATGTCAATGACACAAGATATCACAATGTTGTATTATCATCACTCAACATTTCTTTCTTTCTAAAGGATGAAAAAGCCCAGAGCATCTCAACACAAATCACCATTATAATTGTAAGTGTTTTCAGAACCCTTTTCACACACAGTTTTACCCAACTTATAAAACCATGACAGGTGTAATCAGATGTTTTTTTTTCTGGAAAAAATGATGATAACATTTTTTGATACACTGTCAAGCTATAGTTAACAGGCCAACTGAACATACGTTTTGTCGTCGTCCAGTAACAATTTGACTGATGAACCAAAGCAAGACATTGAAAGGTTTCATTTAATTTAAGTCACTGTAGATACTAAAAAAAAAACAAAGTTACACTTTAATTATTAATTTTTAAACCCACTTATCAAGCATTACATTGGACCAAGTCGGTTGACCCCTAGTCATAATTACTGTTAATGTTATACCCATAACTTTTTGCAGGGTTGGTTCAGTGAGTTCACAAGATGGAATCCTAATGACTTTTGTGGGATCAATATGTCTTCAATTAAAAAAGAAATGGTTTGGATCCCAGACATCAACATAATTGAAAGGTATGAAACATTGTGTGTAATTCAGCATGGTTTGCTAAGTAAGTAAGTATGGTAGGAAGGGGGGGGGGGAAGAAGGACGGAATGAGGGAATGAAAGGGGGGGGATGAAAGGGAGGAAGGAAGGAAGGAAGGAGAGGGAAGGGAGGGAGGGAGGAAGGACGGAATGAGGGAATGAGAGGGGGTAGGGAGGAAGGAAGGAGGGAAGGAAGGAAAGTGAGGGAGGAAGGAAGTAAGGAAGGAAGGATGGACAGAAGGAAGGAAGGAACGAAGGAAGGAAGGAAAGTAAGGAAAGAAGGAAGGGGGAAGGAAGGAAGGAAAGTGAGGAAGGAAGGAATGAGGGAGGAAGGAAGGAAGGAAAGTGAGGAAGGAAGGAAAGGAAGGGTGGATGGACAGAAGGAAGGAAGGGGGAAGGAAGGAAAGTGAGGAAGGATGGACAGAAAGAAGGAAGGGGGAAGGAAGGAATAAAAGTGAGGAAGGAAGGAAGGAAGGAAGGAAGGAAGGAAAGTGAGGAAGGAAGGAAAGGAAGGGTGGATGGACAGAAGGAAGGAAGGGGGAAGGAAGGAAAGTGAGGAAGGATGGACAGAAAGAAGGAAGGGGGAAGGAAGGAAGGAAAGTGAGGAAGGAAGGAAGGAATGAGGGAGGAATAAAAGTGAGGAAGGAAGGAAAGAAAGTGAGGAAGGAAGGAAAGGAAGGATGGATGGACAGAAGGAAAGGGAGAAAGGAGAGGGAAGGGAGGGAGGGAGAAAGGAAAGGGAGGAAGGAAGGATGGAATGAGGGAATGAGAGGGGGTAGGGAGGAAGGAAGGAGGGAAGGAAGGAAAGTGAGGGAGGAAGGAAGTAAGGAAGGAAAGATGGAAGGAACGAAGGAAGGAAAGTAAGGAAAGAAGGATGGACAGAAAGAAGGAAGGGGAAGGAAGGAAGGAAAGTGAGGAAGGAAGGAAAGGAAGGATGGATGGACAGAAGGAAGGAAGGGGGAAGGAAGGAAAGTGAGGAAGGAAGGAAAGGAAGGATGGATGGACAGAAGGAAGGAAGGGGGAAGGAAGGAAAGTGAGGAAGGATGGACAGAAAGAAGGAAGGGGGAAGGAAGGAAAGTGAGGAAGGAAGGATGGACAGAAAGAAGGAAGGGATAAGGAAGGAAGGAAAGTGAGGAAGGAAGGAAGAAAGGAATGAGGGAGGGAGGAAGGAATAAAAGTGAGGAAGGAAGGAAGTAAAAGTGAGGAAGGAAGGAAAGGAAGGGTGGATGGACAGAAGGAAGGGGAAGGAAGGAAAGTGAGGAAGGAAGGAAGTAAGGAAGGAAGGATGGACAGAAGGAAGGAAGGAACGAAGGAAGGAAAGTAAGGAAAGAAGGATGGACAGAAGGAAGGAAGGGGAAGGAAGGAAAGTGAGGAAGGATGGACAGAAAGAAGGAAGGGGGAAGGAAGGAAGGAAAGTGAGGAAGGAAGGATGGACAGAAAGAAGGAAGGGGGACGGAAGGAAAGTGAGGAAGGAAGGAATGAGGGAGGGAGGAAGGAATAAAAGTGAGGAAGGAAGGAAAGGAAGGGTGGATGGACAGAAGGAAGGAAGGGGGAAGGAAGGAAAGTTAGGAAGGATGGACAGAAAGATGGAAGGGGGAAGGAAGGAAGGAAAGTGAGGAAGGAAGGAAGGAAGGAATGAGGGAGGAATAAAAGTGAGGAAGGAAGGAAAGAAGGAAGGAAAGAAAGTGAGGAAGGAAGGAAAGGAAGGATGGATGGACAGAAGGAAGGAAGAAAGGAGAGGGAAGGGAGGGAGGGAGAAAGGAAAGGGAGGAAGGAAGGATGGAATGAGGGAATGAGAGGGGGTAGGGAGGAAGGAAGGAGGGAAGGAAGGAAAGTGGAGGAGGAAGGAAGTAAGGAAGGAAGGATGGAAGGAACGAAGGAAGGAAAGTAAGGAAAGAAGGATGGACAGAAAGAAGGAAGGGGGAAGGAAGGAAGGAAAGTGAGGAAGGAAGGAAAGGAAGGATGGATGGACAGAAGGAAGGAAGGGGTAAGGAAGGAAAGTGAGGAAGGAAGGAAAGGAAGGATGGATGGACAGAAGGAAGGAAGGGGGAAGGAAGGAAAGTGAGGAAGGAAGGATGGACAGAAAGAAGGAAGGGATAAGGAAGGAAGGAAAGTGAGGAAGGAAGAAAGGAATGAGGGAGGAAGGAATAAAAGTGAGGAAGGAAGGAAGTAAAAGTGAGGAAGGAAGGAAAGGAAGGGTGGATGGACAGAAGGAAGGGGAAGGAAGGAAAGTGAGGAAGGATGGACAGAAAGAAGGAAGGGGAAGGAAGGAAGGAAAGTGAGGAAGGAAGGAAGGAAGGAATGAGGGAGGAAGGAATAAAAGTGAGGAAGGAAGGGTGGATGGACAGAAGGAAGGAAGGGAGAAGGAGGGAAAGTGAGGAAGGATGGACAGAAAGAAGGAAGGGGGAAGGAAGGAAGGAAAGTGAGGAAGGAAGGAATGAGGGAGGAATAAAAGTGAGGAAGGAAAGAGGGAAGGAAAGAAAGTGAGGAAGGAAGGAAAGGAAGGGTGGATGGACAGAAGGAAGGAAGGAAGAAAGGAAGGAAGGAAGGGAGGAAAGAAAGAAAGAAAGAAAGAAAGAAAGAAAGAAAGAAAGAAAGAAAGAAAGAAAGAAAGAAAGAAAGAAAGAAAGAAAGAAAGAAAGAAAGAATAGCATGAGGTTGAGTAAAGGATGCCAGCTGTCATACTGTATGTCTTTTCTTCTTGATCTATACCTTTTAAAGTTTGCATTTGATTTGATTGAACTACTTTTCTTCTTTTTCTTTCTATTTAGCATCAAGACAGAGTTTGCAACAATAGAGAATCAACATGTGAAGTTGTTTAATGCAGGCATTATTCTCACATCTAACACTTTTGCTCTGACCTCGGCCTGCAAGATGGACCTTCACCAGTTTCCCTTTGACGCCCAAAGCTGCACGATTACCCTTCAGTCTCCGATACATACAAGTACATCTGAAACTCGGAAATCAATGATAATCCGGGTTGGGCAAAATTAATAAAAAAAAAAAAATAATAATAATAAAAAACTGTGAAATTGAGTGGAATTGGACCCACACATAGGATGTTGAATTAGCATTTGAATTGAAATGACAAGAAGAGAAATATACTAATTTACAATTGAGGAGAAATTAAACAATCAAAAACATCGTTAACTTTGTCAAAATATGCATATTATTGCACAACCCTGATGTTGGCAAACATTCAGACTTTCATCCCTATAATGCATGAACCAAAAAAGTACACAAATGCATAAACAGGGTCAAAATTACCCGTATTCAAATTAATGTTTTTTCTTTGAAAAGAGGTATACAATTGAAGGGACACCAGGCAAGCCTGCATGTTTTTTTTCTCCATGAAGCTCCCCCTGGTGTCTGTTAGTAAATGCTTATTATGTATTACAAAAGCTGAAATATATTATTTATAAGATGCAGTTGTACTTTAGATTGAACTTTTCTAACAGTTAAACTTTTTTGTTTCCCACAGACCGTGTGAAATGATATTTTCAGAGAGAGACAGAACTTTTTAAATAAAATTTGCACATTTCTAAAGCAAACGTTTGGGAAGAGTTTGCACCACGTCCTTGGCCCGTCTGCTGTCCTTTCCTGTAGCCTTTCTCTAGTCAACTCATATACGGTCTGAGTAGGTTCTACATTTCATGAAGAACTATTACAAAATATACACGTGTATAATATGAATATTATCAAACGTGAATGTGTCTGTTATGATTGCAGTCTGAATCGGAAATAGAAGATCATCTGGTGAATACGGCCCAGTTTGATCCCCTTTATGCATTCATGTGGTAGTGAGACAAACAAAAACATCCTATGCATATCTGAAATGAAAGTCGTTCTAATGTATGTTGTTGATTTTCTCTCAGGCAATGAGCTCCTGATTTACCCTTTCTCTGATTCATCATTCCTGACTCTCAGCTCCAAGAAGGCCTTTCAGACTCAGGGAGAGTGGGAACTCCTCACTATAAATATCTCTAAAGGCCAAGCTGATACTATAGGATATATACAGGATCAGCTGATATATACGGTACAGAGCAGAACGATAAGAATCACATTTTTATAGATTATCATTGATGTAAATGGTGAATGGTGCACTTCAGTTAGAATAAGACTCATAATAATGACAATGCTTACCTTACAGATAAGATTCAGACCTTGTAACAACTAGCACCAGTCTCCAATGTGAACGTAAATCTGCTCTGATAAAGCATTTAAAGAAGTTTCTGTTCTTGCAGATCACCATAAGGAGGAGACCTTTACTGTATGTCATTATTTTTCTGATGCCAGTATTTTACTTCCTTGTGCTGGATGTGGCCTCCTTCTTCATCGATTCAAGTGGAGGAGAGAAGCTTGGGTTTAAAGTAACTTTGCTTCTGTCTATTTCTGTGTTACTGCTGCTTCTTAAAGACATGCTGCCCTCCACTGCCAGTAGCATCCCACTGATTGGTGAGTTACTTTCCTCTTATTTACTGTATGTGTAGAAAATCAGCATATTCTTGTTATTTCTGAAGGATCACGTGACATTGTAGCCTATACATTTCAGAATAAAATTGAAAACAGTTCTTTTAAATTGTAATTTTTTATAATATTACCGCTTATTTTTTTTTTCCAGGGATTTATTGTGTTGTCATCTTCGCTGTCATGGGCATCAGTGTTCTTGAGACTATTTTTGTGAATTTTCTGATGGCTAAAGGAAATCAGACATTTTCAGTGGAAGCAATGGAAAGCACATCTGCTCTTTCTGGTAAATATTTACCCGACATCTAATAATGAGGGGTAATTTATTAGTTAGTTATCCATGCACATTCCCATTATTCATCCCAATGTGATTTGGATGTTGGCATCTTTGCTCCTTGAACTTATTGTTCATGAGCTTTAAATGCTGTATGAGATCTCTATATCAGAACTTTTTGCAGTCGGCTGGGGAAAATACAAATTCATCTCTTTTATGAGTTCTTCAAAGGAAATTGATCCTTGATAAAACATGTTTCAACATAAACATGTATAATTCCTCTCACAGATACCGTAAAGGACCCTTCAGACTCAGTTGCAGACAGCACTGAAGAGCACCCGTACACTCCTGAAGCAATCCTGAAGCAGATCCTTGTGGAGTTTCAGGCTGTTGCTCATCAAAACCAAAAAAAGAAGAAACCCCTGTCCTGGACCAGAGTGGCCAAAATAATAGATGTTATCTTCTTTTTCCTGTACTTAATCACTGTTATTGCTTTTCTGATTTCACTGTTCATTTCTTGGTTCGCATGAGTGTATATCCTTGTATGGGCCTGTACATGAGATGATCAGGCTTTCATAACTTCTGCATGTTCCATTAGAAATATTAAAATATAGACAAGCCAACAGTTTTCCTTTTTAGTTACTTTACTGTACATTCCACTGAATACACTCTTGAAAATAAAGGCTCCAAAAGGGGATTTTGTTTGCAGCAATGCCATTTTATTAATGTGAAGATCATTTTAATAACCTGAAGAACCTTTTTCTGCTATAAAGAACCTGGCATGGACAGATGTTAAAGGTTCTTCACGGAACCACAAGTTGTGTTCCTCCATGGCTGCTTTCTGTTCCAGAGGTAAATATTAATTTATTAGTGGGAAAAGGTGAGCATCACGCTAAGCAAATACTTCATATTTAGATATTTTACAATTTTACAGATGGCTCTAAAGAATCCAAGGGTCATTGTGGTATTGGAATTTATATTCCAGAATTTGGAAAAAGATATGGGTATAGAGTGAGTGACCATTTATCAGTATATTCAATGGAGATGACGCCAATTACTGCCCTCAGGTGGGTTAAACCTCTGAGATCTGTTAAATGTACTGACTATGGCAGTATTGCAAAGTTTTATAACAGATAATGCCATACGTGAAGATTTGGTATTAGAAGTAAACTAAAGTATCATCTTTTAAATATTATACGCCTTGGATTAGTGGTATAGTTTTGTTGGATTCCAGAGAATTATATAAGTGATGGCAATGGAATTGCTGATAGGTTAAAAAATCTTTGGAATTAGAATTCACATTCCATTGGGTAAAGGAGATGCTAAAGCTTTAATTAAATCACAGATTACACTAAAGTGGCAAGATGAATGGGAGTTAGAGAATAATGCCAGACATTATCATAGGAACCAGAACTGTGTTGGAGGGAAAAGAATCACCTCATTGGGTCTTAATAGGCATGAAGAACTTAAGGTATGATAGCCAGATTGAGGTTGGGCCAGACAGGCCTTAATTCCACTTTATCCTTAATGGCATATGCTCTGAATGAAAAGTATTGGAGGATGTGTTTTATACACATGTTATTTAATGTACAAAATTTGACCAATTATGACAGAAATGGAAAGACACTCATGCAGAAAATGATATTCATAATATTTTACAGGAGCAAGGAATGCAGGGACAAAGAAGCAAATGCTGAATTATATATCTTAATGATACTGGTTTAAGTAAGAATTTATTTATTTTTTATTTTTTTTACGATTTAAAGCATCATTTCCCAAAGTCCTTTTTACACACTCCTGTGTAGTAGTCCAGTAGGTGGCGGTATAGGCTATGTGCACAACCGTAGTTTCGAACTTCCGCTTTTGTCAGAAGTCGGCATATCAGTTTCCGGTCTACGACTGGTCATCCGCATCCACTAATAAACATACAAGATGAGTGCTGCTGTTGTACGAAAAAAAAGAGTTCTTAAACACATCTAAGTTTCTAAGAACTAAGTTTCTAGTGGATCTAACGTCCGTTTCACACCCGTTTGCAGTGTGTGTTGCGGTGCAGGAGCGTGCTGTTAGTGCGTTCACATATTATGACGCGTTTGCACAGTGAATAACTGATCCGCGGCTGTACAACAAAAACATACTTAACATTTTTATTTAAAGTCCAGAAGTTATGCTGCGACTGTTTTTAAAAACAAAAAGATGTGTCAGCATTGCGATTCTTTGTATGCACGTTTAAACACAATTTAAACAATGTAAGTTAGGGCTATTACTCCATGCATTACAATTTGCTCAAGCAAGTGGTCAAATAATTCCTATATTAAAATCGTAAATAATTTAAATAAAAACTTGAAATTGACAAAAGCAGCCGACTTGCCTTTTCTTTTGCCTTTTAATTTTAAAACAACAGATCTGGCATGTCACAAATAACTTATTTTTACACCTCCACGATTGAGACGAGTGTTGTTCATTCTGTCGCCTGGTTGAAGTAAATTGTAGTTTTCCTTGATTAAATGTGCATTTATGGTGAGATTACTACATTGTATTTAATTAAATGCATTTATGGTGAAATTACTACATTTTCAGGTCAATCTTTATCATTTTGACCACCAGCGTTTGCAGCACAGCAGAAATAGACTCGACGTGGAAACGATCGCTGTGCTTCTGTTATATGTACCACATCAGTGAAAAGTGAAAGCCCTAACCTGTTTACATGGTGCGTTAGGAGACTACTGTGCGGCACTTTGCTCGCTAACAGCCATTTGAGCTTCTACTGCTTCCTGATAAACACCAACCTTCGTGCGCAGTGGCTGCACAAAATAGACATTTTGGGCGACGCGCTAAAAATAATAAAAATATTAGGTATGTGTTTGTTGTACAGCCGCGGATCAGTTATTCACTGTGCAAACGCATCATAATATGTGAACGCACTAACAGCACGCTCCGCCACCGCAACACACACTGCAAACGGGTGTGAAACGGACGTTAGATCCACTACAGTTCGAAGAAACTTTGATGTGTTTAAGAACTCTTTTTTTCGTACAACAGCAGCACTCATCTTGTATGTTTATTAGTGGATGCGGATGACCAGTCGTAGACCGGAAACTGATACGCCAACTTCTGACAAAAGCGGAAGTTCGAAACTACGGTTGTGCACATAGCCTATATCGTAAAGATGTGATCCGCCATTAATCAGAACAAGAATGTTGCAACTCTGGTTTCATTTATTTATTTTAATGTATGTTGTGTTTAAAAAAAAAGTGCAGAAACATTCTCTAGACTCTAACTAGCAAAATTTGTTTGTTTTTTTAAAGTTGAAATTTTGATTCATGGTTGTTAATGGGTGCAAAAAGAGAAGCCACTTTTTCCAAAATGTCTAGAATTTAAAAAGGAGAGAGATTTTCACCAACTTTGGTACACATATGTAAGGACCACATGACCACGTAAGGTCTCGGTAAAAGAAATGTGACAATTAGCCACTTGTTGGCGCTATAAAATAGAAAAGACAGGAAAATGGTCATACGATTGACTTGAAAAGTGGCATGCCATGTCTTTGTCCGAGCCGCCACAATTGTTTGTGCGTACATTGACGTATCTCAAAAAAAATGTCCACCATGGGCCAATGAATTATCGTTAACTGTTAAAAAACCTTAGATATACTGTATATTTTCTATGGTAAATTTACCATATTGGCTTTAAATGGTAATTTCCATCTATGATTAAGATGGTAACAGGATTGCTAAATAAAACATATTATCTTTTTACGCTTGTGCTTAAAGGCCTTAAACCACTTGTACCCCCATAATTGCTACTCGCATATTTTACTGTTATTATTGATATTCTTTTGCATAATCTTGTACATCCATTGCTACATGGGTAGCCTTTATAGTTTAAAGGGATAGTTCAACCAAAAATTTAAATTAGCCCTTGATTTACTCACCCTGAAACCTTCCTAGGTGTATATGATATTCTTATTTTAGAAGACTACAACCAGAGTTTTATTAAAAAATACTCTGGCTCTTCCAAGCTCAATAATGGGAGTGAGTGGGTATTTTGGAGGTCCATCAAAGCGCATGCCCTTTAACCAAAGACATGCTTTTCAAACTGACTGCTTAGCAGAAAAATAAGTAACAATGTTGAGTATTCTTTATTGAAGTTGAAGCACTGAAGTTGAACATAGGCTATATTTGAAGAGTTCAGATGCAAAAGCCTCTAAATGCCATTTGAAATTTGCTTCTAGAATGGTCATTTTTATCAAGCTTGTATATTTAAGTTAAGTATATTTAAGTTTAATAGGTAATCTTCATTGCCATTTAAGTGAAATTACTGAACTTAAATATACAAGCTTGATAAAAATGATCATTTTAGAAAAAAATTTCAAATGGCACTTAGAGGCTTTTGCCTCTTCATTTCCCCTTTAGACACGTTCTTTTTATTATTATTATTATTTGGTGTGTGCTAAATTTGCTGTTATTATCAGCATATGTTAAAGTATAGTTGCAAAGTGATTATGTTTTGGAACCTTCAGGAAACAAACCAGATCTTTCTCAAAATTTAATTTGCTGACTCTGTCGACTTCAAAAAGGTGTAGATAAAAAAAAAAAAAAAAAATCAGTTTGAAGCAAGTTTTTTTTTTTATTAAGAAAGTGAAAATATCAAGAACTAATAATAATTGCTTATACTGACTTGTTTAGGTAGCAAGGATTACATATCCTTGTTCAAAGCAAACCAGGCTCATGCTCCACTCTTCACATAATGTTACCTCCACCAAACATTCCAACATAACAGAAAATATTTAAAATGAGCAAAACATAAAACATTTCCCACTTAACCTTATTCTTCCATAAAAACATTATATAACACTTATAATACATTATATAATCCCAGTTTTAGTTAAATTTTAAGTTTGTCTAAATTAAATTAAACTATTCAGATTGTGAACTCAAAAGATAAAGAAAGTTCTAAATACTCATAAAAGTTCATTTGATTTAACTAATTTAAGTTTATCCAACTCAGACGAGTTAATTGTTTTAAGCATTATGGAATATACCAATAACTCCAAAGCACAGACATGAACACAATATCAGTGAAAATGTAAAGAGTCAAGAAGATCACATTTATGATTCTTGCCTTTTTGGTCAAAGACAGAGGTGTTATCTGTCGGCACTCATTGAGGATCAGCTTCAGACAGTCGGGAGTGCAACTCTGCTCTTCATTCTGATCTCTAAATGAGTCTGGAGGATTCTGCTGGTCTCTTACACAAACTGTGAGAGGGAAAAAAGTACAGCTCTGTATAAAAGTTTTGTCTGCATAATCTCACGCACGAATCTTTGCTGATTCCTCATGTGGTTTTGGGGTGGCTTGTTTAAATATGTGATATTGCATATTTTTTACATGGTTTTACATTTGCTAAATTCAGACTTCAAATGATCGATCCATCCATCCATCCTTTAGAGGCACAAGCATGCTGGAACATGTAGCCTATATATATATATATATATATATATATATATATATATATATATATATATATATATATATATATATATATATTGGAGTCTAATTTACTCAAAGATTAGTTTAGTTAGCTTTTCTTTTTATGTACCAAAGCTAATAGTGTACCAAAGCCAAAGTTCCTCATAATCTGATGTTGTTTCAACTCTTACCATCTCGGCCAGTAAGATCGGCTGTAGTTTCCACTGATCTCTTCTTAGCTGCTTGATACTTCAGATAATTCACAAAGATGGTCTCCATTATGCTGATGCCAATTAGACAGAAGATCACACCGCAGTAAACCCCTGTGAAAAAACACAGGAAACTGCCCAGTTAAGAGTTTTGTTAGAAAAACGTTCTTCAAATATTCAGTGTTGGTTCTGGGAACGAAAAAAAGTCCAGATTACTTGACGTCACACTGTTAGACCATATGCTTTTTTTTTTTTTTTTTTTACAGTAAATGGGCTCTATGCACGGCGGTATTTCCGGTGAAGCATTAGGGATGCTCGATAACTTCCGCCGATCGTAGAGTCCAATGCAATACCGAGAATTTATTGAATTTTATACTCCATGGTTATCCTAAAGAAACGTTAGTCACAAAAACAGATAAAACAGACACCCCTCGTTGTGTTTATGCTTCTTTTTAAAATTATATTAAATAAATATAACTATATATAAAATTACATCTAAACGTATTTACGTTTCATTTCAAAGACTGGAGGACAGTAAATCTTGAAGACTCTGCCATAATCCCGTTTTCCTCGGTTTTCCTCCGCTTTAATCTCCACAACCGGAGCATCCTTGCGTCAAATGCGGAATTCAATTTATGCGTGCGTATAGCCCATTACTGGCAACACTGTTGCCAGCAACTTCCTGTTAATTGTAGAGTTATTTACTGTGATCTACAGCAGTGGTTCTCAATCCTGGTCCTGGGGACCCACAGCTCTGCAGAGTTTGTATCCTCATTTAACACACCTGATCTGTTGGAAAAATTCACTCTCACCAGAATGGTTATTAAGATGTGACGTCTATAATGTGAATTTCTTTTCTGTGTTTTTTGATGGTGTGACCACTGGGGGGAGCTCTGGGCATATTTTTGTATTCCGTTAGCTAGCACTGAAAAAGGGCTGTATATGTTTGTTGAACATGCAGAAAAGGAGGACGCACATGTTGTGCTTTAATTACAGTCGTTATTTAATTACAAAAGTTTCTTCTGAAACTGATTCATCAATTTTTCCCACACAACTGTAGGATCTTCCGGCTCTCCAATCAAATAGAGCAAGGACGGTTCTATTGACAGTAATAAGGTAGCCAGAGCACGATCACTTTTAGCAATATGAATTGGAGCCGTCTCTGTACCATTTACCACGTCCCATAGTCCATCTCTCGTATCATCAGCACATTAGGAAAGAGCTCTATTTTCAGTAGGCTACTGCGCTCGTTGTCTTTTGACTTCCGGTCTGTATTTTCATAGCGATCTTGCACAGGTATGAATGAACTGCTCGTCGACATTTGTTAAAGACATCTGCTTTACAATGCTCACGATAACTTTTGTTAACTCTACAATAAGTAAATCCACTTCACCAGCTAATTACTCATCGACAGCGATGCCATAGAAATATACAGAGCGACCGCAAAACCGGAAGTTCAAAGACAATATTCTAAAGATGACGGCGCCCACGTTTCTCTGGTGCATATGGTCTAAATAAAAAGTGCAGAGCAGTGGGTCTGGAACCAGACTTCAGCAGCATTGAGACACTGGTCAGGAGGAGGTTGGTAGGCTATTATTTCTTTCTGTTTGACAGGCGTCAACTTTAAATTTATTTGAGGAGGATTTGCAATTGTTCTGCCTTAATGCCTTAAATTCATAACAATTCTTCATTTTAAGGGAATACTGCTTTAAATCCTTGTGTTTGATGGTTGTGACTTCATTTGAGATTGAATTACTGTAATGTATTCTCAAAAAAATTAAGTAATATTAAACAATCAGGTTAATGTTAGACGCACCAATCAGAGGGATTTCTCTCCCTGTAGAGGGCAGTGTGTTGTTGATAATCAGCAGCATCACAGAAACAGACAGAAGTAAAGTCACTTTGAAGGCCACTTTGTCTGCTGCCTTTGAGTCAACGAAGAAGGAGATCACGTCCAGCACAAGTAAGAAACACGATGGTATTATAATGTTTATGACATACAGTACAGGTCTCCTTTTTATCTCGATCTGCAATGGAGAGAGAGAGAATAATTTGAATCCTAATGTATTGAAAATTCTTCATTAATTTAGAAGACATTTGATACCACAAGGTTTAAAAATATAATAAATACATTTATTACACATTTTTTCACTAACTCATGAACTAGTTGTTCTTGTTTTTTTTTGTTTTTTTGTATTTATTTATTCAATCGTTGGTTTACGTTCCATATCCAGTGTGCTGTACCTCATAGATCAGCTGATGCATTTTAAGTCTTTCAAGACCATCAAAAGTGGTTTTATTACTGTGAATTATATTGATGAGGTTCCACTCTCCCTGGCTCTCAAAGATCTCCTTCGACTTGTTTATAATATGATTAGCATTTAATGTTTTTATTACAATCTCTTTATCTGTAAAAAAAAAAAAAAAACAGACATGATTATTTTATTAATTATTATTTCAAAATAAATCAAATAGTGTAGACGAATAAACCATGTAATCTTGTGTTTGTTTGTCTAAACTGATTCATGTGTTTTAGATGTACCTGAATACACTGCAGACTGAAGTGTTATACTGCACTTTTGGGTGTCGAAGGGAAACCTGTAGAGATCCATCTTGCAGGCCGTGGTCAAAGCAAAAATATCAGTTGAGATTGTAACTCCAGAAGAGCGCAAATGCACATATGGAGACTCCTTTGTTCCATACTCTGTCTTGATGCTAAATGGATAAAATATAAATTAACACTGATTATTAAAGACAAGATGATTGGAGACAATTAATCAAATCAAATGTAAATGCAAAAGTATTTGCCACATAGCAACATTGTGACAGTTCAGATCCGGCCTATATCTGGCACACGTGGCATTCTGATCAGTATGGAATCCCTAAAGGGACGGGGTGGTGGAAAACAAATAATTTTCGATAGTATTTAATTGTTCCTAGAAATCTCATTAGCTCTTTCTTCGTAAAAGGGACTGGGAAATTATCAATGGCCTGGACTTTTGCCCAAAAAGGACACACATTACCTTGTCCCACCACATTTCCCAAATAGACCACACTGGCACGTGCAAATTCTTTCTTTCTTTCTTTCTTTCTTTCTTTCTTTCTTTCTTTCTTTCTTTCTTGTATTTATATAGCACAATTTATTGCAACTACAGTTGCACCAATGTGCTTTCCAGCGATACCAAATAAACAATAAATAAATAGACATCACAAAAGAAAACAACGAACAGTAACAGAGAAATTAAGGCTCAACGCCCAGAGGAATTAAAAGCCTGAGTTAATAGGTGGGTTTTTAATAATTATTTAAAACTGGAAATAGTCTGAGCCAATCTAATGTGAATGGGTAACAGCGATCGAGAAAGCACGATCCCTCCTATGTTTAAATCTGGATCTGGGGATCATTAAGAGAAACTGATCAGAGGACCGTAGGGGTGGTTAATCTGTCTGATTTTTCGATTCGATTACGATTGTTGAAGTCTCGATTCGATTACAGTCGATTTTCGATTATTAACGATTACCGATTATTGATTTCCCATTTCACTTTAGTAAACGAAAATATACTAGACCAACATATGGTTATATTAGCAGCAGCAACATTTTGGTATTAATTGCACTTTTTATTTGTTTGATATTCAATGAAAATGTAATGATGGTTAGTGAGGACATGTAAACATGCTTGTTGTCTACTACTTAGGCAACTCATTATCTTTAAATAATTTTTTTTTTCAAAAGAAATTGTGTTGCATTATAATGCAAATGCACTTGGTAATAATTTGCTTTAAAAGTACAAAGTAATGACCCATCAAGAATTAACGCACAATATATTTTATTAACATTGCAAAGAACCAACAGGAAAATAAACGTGTGCCTGAACTAGGAGCATACTTGTAGTAAATAAATAATATAATGACCGGTACAGCCGAGTGTTTTTCCTCCTATGGCTGGAAACGTGTCATATGGCTTCATATATTTGTCATGTTTCGTTGTTGGTTTTATTCTACAAAGCTTACAACTATGCGGCTCTTGTCCAGCTCCTTTCCCCCTTCAACTTCAGAAGCCAAAATATTTTTGGATCTCGCGCGCCATCGCGTCTCTGTTATGTGCACGCCACAGACGGTCCGGCCACTGCACTTCCGTCCTTCAGAGTTTCGACTTTCGCGTTCCGTCAATATTACGTTATTATAAATATATATATGAAAAAATTGTTGTTTTTTTTTGAAAATCTATTTTTTGACATTTGTGAGTCGATTCAGGATCCTCTACGTCCGCATCGCGATGCATCGAGCATCGATTTTTTTTCCCCCACCCCTATGTAGGGGTCTATTTGATGTATGCCGTTTCACTAAAGAAACAAAGTATGTGGGTGCCATACCATTTAAGAATTTAAAAACAAACAATAACAGTTTATATTCTATACGGAAACGGATCGGCTGCCACTGAAGAAAGTGCAAGATTGGAGTAATGTGCTCATGCTTTTTTGTACCAGTCAGTAGCCTGTCTGTGTTCAGTCAGTATTCTGTGCTGTGTCAAAATTACCTTTGAGAGAAACGGTAATTTTGAGATTGGTCTAAAATTAGATAAATCTGTCAGATCCAAATTCGATTTTTTAATTAAAGGTTGCACTATAGCGTGTTGTAGATAGGCTGGCACAGAACCCGTAGCCAGACAGCAATTTATTAGGGTCAAAATACTAGGGCCAATGACATTGAAAGTTTTTTTAAAAATATGGGTCGGAATAACATCTTGAGGACTAGTAGAAGGCTTCAAATGTTTGACTATCCTCGCCAGTGTAGACACAGGCTCAAACCAATGAAAAACAGCAGACAGTCGCTGGCGGAATTGAAGGATCATGAGCATCTTATCCATAAAATGTGTGCGAAAGTTTTCACAGGTTTGTACAGAGACATCAGTACCATCTGAGGCTGGAGGATGTATCACAGCATTTAGTGTACTAAATAAAACTCTAGAGTTAGGCTGTGTGTCCACCAAAGCGTTTTTCCACGCCCCTGGCATATGTTTTCTAATTGTTTTCGATGGGAGCGCCGCGTTTTTTAAACGCCATGAGCGTACCGAGGCTCTGAGCGTTTTTTTTCACGCTGAAGCGCCGAGCACCCAGCGTTTTTTACTGGTCGCTGGGAGTTGAAAAATGTTCAACTTTGGATAAAACGCAGCGCTCATCACTGTCAATTTTTACCCAGCCATCCAATCACGGTGGAGGAGGGGCGGGACTAATACCACACCGACCAACTGTCACAACATTCAACTGCTGCGGATTTTCTGTATCATAGCAACGAAACGTCTCAATGGAAAAAACGCTGCGCTGCCAAAACGCTCTCAAGCGCCCAAAGCACGGCGTCTTCAGCAGAGCGTCTAGCGTTTTCAGCTGGATAAAAACGCTTTGGTGGACACACGGCCTTATGGACATTTTTTTTTCAATAAGATCAGAAAAATATTTGTCCAGCACAGTTTTAACCATTTTCTGATATTTTGATAACAGGTCCCTATAAATGTTGTGAAAAACTTGAAGCTTATTTTTCTTCCATTTTCGCTCTGCACAACCTACGAAGAGCACGAGTGGCATCATTTAACCATGGTTCTAATTTTGGTTTGATACGTCTAGCCTTAATCGGTGCAATAGAGTCTAAAATATTGGTGGATGTAAGCATAGAAGAAGATAATAACTCATCCGCACACAAGTGCGATAGTGAGCTTTCATACACATTTGAGGTGGCAACCTCATTAAACATACTAAAAATCTTAATTCAGTGGTTTCAGAGTTCATAATACGACCACTGAGAGGGGGCACACAGGATTTCCCCACAGGGTATGATAGAGAAATTTTAAAAAGCAACAGACTCATCAGAGAAGCCAGTATCTGTAATTTCAAGATCACATACTGATACACCATAAGATAAAACAAGATCCAGGGTGTGACCCTGTTTATGGGTCGGGCCTGTCACAGACTGGACAAGATTAAAATAATCAATAAGATTTAAAAAATCTCTTGCCAGCACACTTGAGGGACAACACACATGAATATTAAAATCCCCGATCATCAAGAGTCTATCATTCTTCATCATGAGTCCCCCTAAGAACTCTGTGAACTCTGAGATAAGTTCTTATTTGATTTAGGTGGTCGATACACCAGCACACATTTAGGATTTAGTAAGTCAAATCCACACCGGATTTAGTAAGTCAATTTGCATCAGTTGAAACTTGAGAAGATGTTTGTCTTCATGTTTCAACAGTCAAATTTCTTTTTAAAGACTGATGCAATACCTCCTCCACGGCAACCAGTGGTACGGAGTGAGCTAAAGAACTTACAGTCCAGTGGTACAAGCTCTGTGAAAGGGCTCTGATCGCCAGTGTTGATCCATGTGTCATCCAAACATTGCGAGTTGAAAAAATCCTTCAAAATAAAAGTCTTGTTTATTACCGATCTCGAGTTAACCAAGGCCATTTTGGCCGTGATCGATTCATACACCGGCCTTGACGCATAACACAGCGAGCGAAGATTATTTTGATTTACTCCCCCTCTGCGGAGATGAGGCAAAAGTACCTGGGATGGAGTTTAGATCAGGCACAACAGGCTGAATCCAGCGGAATCGCGGCTCCACGCAGTGCCAGAGCATAGACCGATCCGAAACCAGGCCACAGCGGCAGAAAAACAGCCAGGAGCGAGGCACCGTCAAAGATGTACATCCTCCATCTAGTAGAAATCCCACCTCGCTTTCCGCGTCTGCGACGTAATTTTTTCCCGGAGGTGGCATACGATAGCCGGCGAAGACTCTCCGGTATGGAAAACTAAAATGGAGGAGCTAAGGTTGACGACTCATTTAAATCCTGTTTGATCAGTTTTTCAACGGAGTGTCGAATAGTGAGTAATGTTTGCTTGTCATAGACCAGAGAAGTTTAGACGTATTGAAAGATAAGAGAAAAATATAAAACAATCACAAACAGCCAGGCAAGCTGCGGACGGCAAGCCATACACACTGGCGCCATCAACATCCTGTCACAAATTCAATTATTCACATTTTGCTAAACTTACTATCAACTTTCTGTCTCAAGACAAGTAAATAAAGTGCACAATTGGCAAAGATGTTCCTCCCATGTCTGGCTATACACCACCACATCATCCAGATACACAGCACATCCCTCAAACCCAGAGATTACCAGATTCATCAGGCGCTGGAATGTAGCTGGAGCGTTTTGAAGACCGAAACACATGCGCACAAGAATATAACCTGAAAGACGTTGTGAAAGCACAGACTTCCTGAGCACGAGAAGTTAAGGGTACCTGATAATATCCCTGAAGTAAATCAATCTTCGTAACAAACTCAGCTGACCCTACCGAATCAAAGCAGTCTTCAATTCTTTGGAAGTGGAAAAGAGTCGGATTTAGTAACAGTGTTCAATCTTCTATAATCGGTACAAAAACTAAATGTTTCATCTGGTTTCGTAACTAAAGAGAAGGAGAAGCCCAACTGGAACTAGATCGTTTCGTAAGTCCATTCTCCAAAAGACACTTAACCTCTGATTCCAAAAAAAATTGTTTTTCAAGAGACACACGATAAAATCGTTGCCGAATAGGTTGAGAATCACCAATATCAATAATGGTAAAATGGTAAATGGACTGCATTTATATAGCGCCTTCATAGACCTAATGGCCACCAAAGCGCTTTACATTTGCCTCACATTCACCCATTCATACACTCATTCATACACCGACGGCGGTGTCAGCCATGCAAGGCGCCAGCCAGCTCGTCGGGAGCAGCTGGGGTTAGGTGTCTTGCTCATGGACACCTCGACACTTGGTCAGGTGGAACCGAGGATTGAACCACCAACCTTTCAGTTCGCAGACAACCCACATGAGCCACTGTCGCCCCTATAACATGTCAGAATCATGTCAGTGCACGATGGAGTACCAGAAAAAAGATCAGATGTATTAATTTCTAAACTGTCTTGAGATAAATGCCCAACCATAATCTCGAATTTATTTTATTGTCTAGGTTGAATTAAATATTCGTCAAAAATATCCTTCTCAACCCCACTTTCGCCCCCCCACAGCAATCGCAACCTCCTGAGTGACCTTGTGAGCAGCGAGCATCAACCAAGGTAGTCCCTCCTCCCAGTCTTTCAACTGTTTTAGTGTTTGATGAAAGCACTCGAGGGCACCCTGACTCTCAGGATGGTAAGCACTGCTTTTTTGATGATCTACCTGCAACTATTTTAGAATTTGGGCAAACATATTAGACATACGTATTCGCAGCAGGGTATCGCATAGTTTGGCACATCAGTCAATAGCTCAGCTTGTCAGTTAACTATGGCTCTTTGTACACAGCAAAAACTCCAGTATTAAATTAGTCCAGTGTTATATGAGTCCACACTCAAGAGTGTTAAATTTAATGAGATAATTAAGTGATTAATTGACCGATGATTGTGCATTATTGAAGACACCTAAAGCAGAAACACTGAAGGGGAAAATCTAAAATTGTAAGCCACCATTATGGCGATCATTGTTTAATTTAGGTGGGCTCTTGACCCATATATTGTTAACTTTAGATTTTGTTTGGCTGTTGTATCTGAGTTATTCCTGCCAGATGAACAAAAAACTAAAGTGATCTAATGGTGTTGGTTATATTATGATAATGAATCATTTTTACTTTATGTTTGTGATTTGTGCTGTCGGTTCTTTCTTTTAGGCACACACAGACCTCACGATTCAGTCAATGCATCTCAACAATGGTGATGAGCAGAATATTCAATTAGAAAAGTAAATTTCATAGGCAATTCAGATCGTAATTCATTCATACTGCAATGCATGATGGGAGCCATTAATGAGTTAAGATTGGTGGCAGCCACTGCAACATGGATTATTATTGTCAACATTGTTGAGATTCACAGGCTGATTATTGATGTCTGTGTTTCTAAATAAATGTAATTAAATATTGTAGATTATAAGAAAATAATGATAATCACATGCTGTTGCATCAAAAAGCAGTTGCTAATAATTTAAACCAAATCATCTAATTAGGTTTTATTATTCAGATCAAAGCATGATTGTGCCAAAACATAACCAACACTATCAGATCACACTTTTCTTTGTTCACTTGACTGTTATAACGTCAATAACCGCAGACAAACAAAGTTTAAAGTGAAAGTATAAGGGTCAAGAGTCCAACTAAAGCAAACACTGATCACCATAACGGTGGCTTACAATTTGTGATTTTCTCCTTCAGAGATTCTGCTTGTTAACATCAGGTGTCTTCAATAATGCTCAATCATCACTAAATTAATCACTTAATTATCTCATTAACTTCACTTCATTAAATCTTGAATGTAAATTTAACACTCATATCTGCATCACATCTTCCATCTGAAAGCAGGTGAAGGTGATTTACTACTAATCAAGGAACCGGCTATACTGAAGAGACACGCATAACAATGTCACGCGATATATCGCCCAGCCCTAATTTACTGTGCTGCGGCAGCAATTCTTTGTTGTAAATGAATTCAACCCAAGTGCTCTTTGGTGACGTGGATGATTACGTTACTGTTGATCATCTGTCCATCATCTTATAAAGCCCACCCTGACAATTTGATTGATCCGAACAGTTTTGGTTCGGGTATACTTGCTTCACAATGGATCAAGTCCAGACCGAACTTCCCGACCTCAAATTTTGTTCCCAGGGCTAAGTTCGGCTGGCATCCAGGCTATCACAGTATACCCTGGAGGCTACACTCAAAAAAATGATATGTTGGCTTTAATTAACTTTGTTATGTAAACAGACTCCACATAACTGGGTTACGTTAAACAAACATAATTTTTACCTCCTAAGACCTGGTTGTCCACATACGTGGACATCACATTATTTGTTGTGTGTCCAGGGGTCAGAAAGTAAAAGTCCTGCCATATTTTTCGGTGGAATAAAAATGTGGCAGTACTTTTACTTTCTGACCCCTGGACTTTTCCACCCAAAACTAGGGTCTTAGGAGGTTAAAACAGTTGGTTTCTACATGAGTTCAGATCAAATGATTGTGAAACAATGATTATGTTGAACCAACACCATCAAATCAACTTTTTTTTCTTTGCTTATCTAACTGTTATAAGTCAGATACAGCAGCCAAGCATAATCTAAAGTTATTGATGTCAGGGTCAAGAGCCCAAATGAAACAAACAGTGATCTCCATAATGGTGACTTTCAATTGCGGTTTTCTCCTTCAGTGATTCTGCTTTTTAACATCATGTGTCTTCAATAATGCTCAATGATCACTTTAATGGAAAATTGTATGTTACTGACAGAATACTGATCCTTTTTACAGCAAAGGTTAATAGTGAATAAATAAAGCTGATAATTTCCTTAATTTAAAAAAAAAAAAATTATACCTTTCCAATATGCCAATGTCTGGAGTCCAAAACATATTTTTTGGGGCTGCAAATGTTTCAATTTGACAATAATTGGCTGGGTTCCACATCATTCTCACATTTGGCCACACCTGGAAAGTTAAATGAAGTTCAGAATGATTATAAGACAAATAATGCATGCTTGAAAATTAAATTAAATATATTTTTTAAAACACTTACAGTTATCATTTTAAGCTGTGTTGTGAGACTCTGGGCTTTTTCATTCTGTAGATAAAAAGATGTGTTGAGAAATGATACAACAACTGCTTGACATCCCATGATTTAAATGAGAAGATAAATCATGCTGGACTCATACCACATTGGTGATGGAGGACACATATATGTCCACATGAATGTCTGCAGGCTGGTCGGCATATTTGGATTCGTATTTGTAGTTGTACATCAGGGGCCACATTCTTTCATTCTGAGTGCTATTGTCTTCTAAGCCGAGATCTTTCCAAAGCTTAATTTTAGCTTCGGCATACTGTCTTGAATTGCAGGCTGACCCCCGCCCTGTGTGTATGAGACATTCAGAAACACAGAGAAACACAGGGGGGGGGGGTTATGGAGTCAAGGATTTTTTTTACTCTAAAATGTTTATTAAATGAGTTTAAATGTTAACAGTATTATACATGTTAAAACGAAATACAAATTTTGCTGTGTTAAAAAATGTTCTCATCTGAAATAAAGGAATATATCATATAAACAAGTAATTGTTGTGTATTTTACAAAGGTTTAGATGATTACGTTAATATATATATATATATATATATATATATATTATTTATTTTATTTATTTATTTATATTTTTACAGTAAGTTTGAATTGAGTCAGAAGTATGTGGTAATTCTTTATTAATTACTAATGGGTTCCCTATATTGTCACTTTAGAATACTGTTTCAGGTTCTAAGTAATTCCTGAAGGACTATCTAATAATTATTTATTAATTACTAATAAGTTCCTTATATTTTTACTTTAGAAGACTGTTTCAGATTATAAGTAGCCTAATTCCTAGATAATTATTTGATAATTCTTTATTAATTACTAATGGGTTCCCTGTATTGTCACTTTAGAATACTGTTCCAGGTTCTAGTAATTCCTGAAGAACTATTTAAAAGTTATTTATTAATTACTAATAATTTTCTTATATTTTCACTTTAGAAGACTGTTTCAGATTATAAATAGCCTAATTCCTGGATAATTATTTGATAATTCTTTATTAATTAATAATGGGTTCCCTATATTTTCACTTTAGAATACTGTTCCAGCTTCTAAGTAATTCCTGCAGAATTATTTGATACTTATTTATTAATTACTAATAAGTTCCCTATATTTTCAGTTTCCCTCAGTCGTTGCCTCAAATACATGAATGAATCAAATACTACTCAGTGGCATTCTATGCTGAGGAAAACAGACACACACAGTACTGTATATAAAATATACAAATAATCTGAGGTTAGTTTTGTATGACTGTTTAGTAGTTTCTTCTTAGTTATTTTTCTTGAACCTTAATTAGTAGAGAATTAATAGTAGTTCTTCAGGAGGTATGACAGAATTCATTAGTTATTGATGAACTAACTGATACTTAACACAATCAAAATTATATTACATACTGATTAGTTAACACATCTTCCTTAGTAATTAACAGTAGTGAAGAAGTAGTTAATGAAGAATTACCTATTAGTTCGTCAATAATTCCTTATTAATTCTGCAGTAAGTAAGATACAGTATTCTAAAATGTTACCAAAATGTTTAACAGTGCAGACATAACTATAAATTAAAATTACCAAGATGAATTAACAGATTGTAATTATTTTCATTTTAATGCCTTATGTATTAACTAATAATAACAATGAATAACCTAATTGCAACTTTTTATTATTTATTATTGTTAACAATATTTACTTACATATTGAGGCAAGGGAAAATATTAGCCAGTGCAGGTACATTGTCAATCCTGAAAAAAACCCAGGTGCCTGAAATACATCTGCTGTAGGATGAGGAGTCACTCTTGCACAGATGTCAGTCATCTGGTCATATTTATACACTGTGAGAGAGTAACACATTCTCACTCTCAACCAGTGGCAGAGCAGAATATTTTCATAGTGGGAGGCAGGGGCCAGTTTGTGGTGGTACGTAAATCTTCATTATTTCAACAGAAAGAAGTTTAACTATAAAGTGCTGGATTGTTTTATTGCCTACTGTTAACTCTTACTGTAAAAAAAAAATCTAAATTCTGACAACAACATTCCATTTTCCACTAAAACATTAATATACAGCAGAAAGCAAAAGTAGCCTAAGGATATACTGTGAATTAACAGCTCTCAAAGTCGACACCCAGAGGTTGTTTCCCCCAATCACATCCTATTCACTACTACTTACATTAGTTCATATATAGTCCACTTAAATGAAAAGAAGTTAATTGAGACACTGATGAATGCCTGATAAGCAGAATTACTAAAGGACAGAGAAACAAGAGCAGAAAAAAGAGAAACACAAGGAAAAACTGACTACCAGACAGACTGAGTGTGAAAACAGTTTACAAACCAGTTTATCATTATTTTACACACATGTACACAAGTTCTTGTTAGGAATTAACAGATATTTAGTTATTTATGTTTTATTGAATATAATACATTTTGTAGTCACCATGATGTAGATCAGTGTTTACTTTAGTTGGTCTCTTTACTTTTTACCATAAGTGAGTTTTTTTACACATTTTTTTCTTGTGAGAAAAAGTCAAGAAAAAGTTGATCAGGTGTTTTGTCATAATCGTCATGTACATGTCTGCTTCTCCGAAGTTCCTGTGTATAAACATTACATTTATGGGTATTTATTAATCATATAACTTTAAATCTACATCATGAAATTCAGTAATATTTCTGTAAACATTTTTTATGAAGGAAATAAACATGATGTAGATACAGACATCAACATCAACAATCAGCATATATCTCAACAATGGTGACAATCAAAAGTTTCTTGTTGCAATGCATGCTGGGTCCCAGGATAGTATAAAACTCTTTATTCATTATGCATGCACTGCAGTAGGGTTGGGCGATATATCGCATGAACTTGTTATGCACATCTCATCAGTAAAGCCGCTTTTGATGATTGTCATAACATAACTAACACCATTAGATAACTTTATTATTTTTCTGTGTTCACCTGGCAGTTAAAACTCAGATACAACAGCCAAACAAAATCTAAAGTTAATAATTTAAGGGTCAAGAGCCCAACTAAAGCAATCAATGATCGTCATAATGGTGACTTACAATTTTAGATTTTCGCCTTGAGTGATTCTGCTTTAGGTGTCTTTAATAATGCTCAATCATCATTTAATTAATCACTTAATTATCTCATTAATTTTAATCTCATAAACACTCTCAGGAGTGTTAATTTAACACTGTATGTGTTATGTTGATATCCTAGATTTTTAAAATCTCCATACAGCTATCACCCAGAGTGATATGTTTTGTACACTGTTATGTTACATATGAGTCATACAGTGATGGAGTGTGGTGGTTCAGGGAAGCTCTTGACAAAAACATTTGCATTGCTTCAGGGAGATCAACACTGTAATACATTCATGATTCTGTCACGATAACGGCATTTCCTGAATTCCTGAATACAAACAAATTCCTCTAGCCCGTTCGTGCGGTGATATAGGCTTCTAAATAACTGAAGATAAGTTCCAACCACAAGGCAAACAGCAAAAGATTTGTTCTTCACAGCAAGTATAGCAGATACATTATAGTATAGCAGTATAGCAGTAAGTATAGCAGTAATCATTAGATTACTTTACTTACATAACATTTTTTCTTTATTCATCTGGCAGTTACAACTCAGACACAACAGCCAAACAAAATCTAAAGTTAATATAAGGGTCAAGAGCCCAACTAAAGCAAACAATGATAACCATGTATATACCATCATATATATACACTCAAAAAAGAACTTGTTGAATGAACATGATTTAATCAAATAAATTGTTGAATGAACGTGATTTAAACGTAGCATTGTGCATCTAATCAAATCAAGTAAACTTGGACTACTTTGAATATTGTATGTGAACACAATATACATTTGTAGATTCAACATGATTGTAATATGTCAATGTAACTTCTTCACAACTAATTGAATCAAAATGTTTGTATTGTGTTAGTCTAATCAAATTTATTCTTATCCACTCAATGTCAGTAAAGCACTTCAATTCAACAAGATTCTGCCTTGTTACATGAACTAGTTAATGTCTTGGTTTGGTAGTTGATTGAGCATTAATGAAGACACCTGATGTTAACAAGCAGAATCACTGAAGGAGAAAACCATAATTTTTAAGTCACCGTTATGGAGATCCGTGTTTGCTTTAGTTGGGCTCTTGACCCTTATATTATTAACTTTATATTTTAATTTGCTGTTGCATCTGAGTTATGCCTGTCAGATTATCTTTTTAACAAAGATAAAAAATGTATAGATACAGATTTAATGTCTTCTTTTTTCTTCAAATGTCAGTTAGTTCTTGTCTTTCTGCTCGTCTCTTTTTCTGTTCTCTTTTTTTCGTTCCGATTCTGCTTGTTAACAGGTTTAGTAAGGCTGAAATGACTCCACATTTAATGTACACAGATTTGGTTGCTCACATAAGGTCCAGTTGTGGTGTATTTTTTGCTCTTGGTTGACATGTGGCATTGCATGGCTTGATTGTGGCCCAGATCCTGCAAACAGGAGTGGTCCGCCCAAGGGCCGTCATTCCATGATGCATGTGGACCAGATCAGCTTCCCACCTGTGCCAGATATGGGCCAGATCTGGACCCAAAAAATATTGCTATCTGGGGTTGTTCTGATAATAAAAATAATAAATAATCTCTCTTTGAGGCACACACAGACTTATAGATTCACTGTATGAATCTCAACAATGGTGACAAATAGAATATTCTTTTAGGAAAAGGATATTTCTAAAACAATTCAGATCATAATTTATTCATTATTCATACTGCAATGCATGATGGGAGCTATGAATGAGTTTTGATTGGTGGCACCCAGAATGCACTGCAACATGCTTATTTATGGTCACCATTGTTGAGAATCACAGGCTGATTATTGATGTCTCTGTCCAAACAAAATTCCATTTTCAATAACTTTTGATCAGAACAAGTTTTAAGAACTCTTTTGGCTTATATTGAAAAATCGGGATTTTATGCTGTTAAATAACTTTGATACGATAAAAATCAATATACATTCATGTCAGTGATTCAAGGCACATGATTGTGAAATAATGATTATGTAAAAACATAACCAACACCATGAGATCACATTTTACCTTTGTTCATCTGGCTGTCATAACTCATGTACAGCAGCCAAACAAAATCTAGTTAAATATGTAAATGTCAACTGCCCAACTAAACCAAACACTGATCTCCATAATGGTGACTATAAATTGTGAATTTTGAATTTGATTTTGAATTTTCAGTGATTCTGCTTTTTATCATCAGGTGTCTTTAATAATTCTCAATCATCCCTCAATCAATAACTTAAATAGCACATTGACTTTAACAGTGTTATATTAACACTCAAATTTTAACACTTTAACACTCTTGAGTCTTTAACACTCTTGAATTTTTGCTGTGTAGTAACATTCAGAAAGCTGGATATTTTATGTTCTTGGAATGTTAGAAATCATGTTGAATTTTTAATAGAAAATTATGTTTAAAGAACATTTGAGGAACATTGTATCTCTTAAAACACAATCCTCTAACGTCAAGAAAATGGGACCTTTTTCATGTTCCCAGAACCAACACTGAATATTTGGAGAACGTTTTTATAACAAAAATTCTGTTAGCTGGGAACACACTGTTCTGATGACGCAAGAGTTGCAACTAAATGGCAGCTGAGAAGGCCATTCTTTGTGTTCTTTGTGAAGAATTTCAGCAAGTGCAGTAGCTAACCAATGTTACAGCTACTGCACTTGCTTCCCAGAACATAGGAGCAACATCCCAATCGAGTGAAGGGATTTGTGAAAACAGAAATGGAAGCATATACCTAATTTAGACTAAAACACATCTATTTAGCCTCACATACTGAGGGTTTTAATACCCTGAATTTTCTTTCTCATTTTTAGGAAAAACACTTAATTACCATTGTTTATTTCTATACCAAATGTCATAAACTTACAATAAAGCTAAAAATATAAACAACTACATCATGTTGATATCCTATATTTTTACAATCTCCATACAGCTGTCTCCATTCAGCTATCACAGTTATATGTTTTATACACAGTCTTTGTTTTATTACCCATGATCTATGCAGTGATGGAGTGGGGGTTTAGGGAAGCTCTTGAGGGTAACATTTGCATTGCTTCAGGGAGATCAACACTGTAATGCATTCATGATTCTGTCACGATAATAGCATTTCGTGAATGTTACACAAAAAAATTCTTCCAGCCCTTTCGTGCGGTAATACATAGGCTTTTTAAATAACTGAAGATAAGTCACAACCACAAGGCAAAACAGCAAACGATTTTTGGTTAAAAGCAAGTACAGTAGATATAATCATTATATTACTTTACTTACATTACTATTTTTCTTTGTTCATCTGGCAGTTAAAACTCAAATACAACAGCCAAACAAAATCTAAAGTGAACAATTTTAGCGTCAAGAGCCCAACTAAAGCAAACAAAGATCGCCATAACGGTGACTTACAATTTTAGATTTTCTCCTTCAGTGATTCTGCTTTAATTATCTTCTATAATGATCAATAATCACTCAATTAATCACTTAATTATCTCATTAACTTTAACACTCTTGAGTGTGGACTCATATACACTCGCACCTGAGACCTGCAGTGACAGCTGCTGTCAGACTCTAAAATGGAGAGTGACTGGAGTGACGCAAGTAGCTTTGCAACAGAGCAGTTATTATCCCCCACCTTCACCTGAAGTGGAGGAGGGTGAATTGTCTGTGGACACAGGGCGATATCAATTCAAGCTGCTGGCTCAAACTGATCTCAAACTGCTGGTCTTAACTCCTAACTTACGTCAAGAAAACTCAGCATTTTTCACGTTCCCAGAACCAACACTGAATATTTGGAGAACATTCTTATGACAAAATTCTGTGAGCTGGGTTCAACGCATCACTGTTTCTGTTTAAGGGGCTGAATGCTGCAGTCCTGTCCTCACCTTGTTAGTGTTCATTGGTATCTGCATTTAGTTTCCCTCTTGTCATTCAGTCCTGATCGGTTCTGCTTTGTTCATAGTTGTATTTAGAACATGTGTGTGTGTGCGCGCCCATTCTGCTTGCCTGCCTGCCTGTACCTGTGTGTAATATATAGTAAATAATTTTTATTGTAGCTGACCCCCTGGGAGGTATAGGAAGGGACCATCCTGGTGGTGGTGGGGAGGATGGAAGGGAAGGAACCATCTTGGAGGTGGTGGGGAGGATGGAAGTCAATGAAAGCGTCAGCATCTGCGAACTCAAATACGTGGAAGTACCGGTCTTTTATACCGCAAGTATTAGACACAAATGGATAGATGAGAAGGTAATTAGTGACGCAACGATTGAGTCTTCCTGGCAGAACTTAACGCCAAAGCTTCCATGTATCACTGCACAGGCTAGAGAAATTTGTTTGTATAACATTCAGGAAATGCCATTACTGTGACAGAATCATGAATGTACTACAGTGTTGATCTCCCTGAAGCAATGCAAATGTTTTCCTCAAGAGCTTCCCCGAACCAACACAGTTTATCAATGCACGGCTCATAGGTAACATAACAAAGACTGTGTACAAAAAATGTTGCTATGGTGCTAGCTGTATGGAGATTGTATAATTATTGTCTCATTGAGAAAATTCACAAATAAATAAAAATAATTACATTATAAGTATACATACAGTCGTGCTCAGAATTAATGGGACCCCTGGTAAATATGATGAAAACTGGCTGTAAAAATAATTCTGCATTGTTTATCCTTTTGATCTTCCATTAAAAAAATTGGCAAAATTCAATTGAAAGTGGGGGTAAATCACACTATGAAATAAATGTTTTTCTCCAAAACACTCTGGCCATAATTGTTGGCACCCCTAGAATTTTTTTATGAGAAAAATATCTCTGAAGTACATTCCCATTAATATTTAATTTTTAAAAGCACATCAGGGTGACTAGGAACATGAAATTGTCCAGCTATGACTTCTTGTTTCAAGGAGTTTAAATATGAGGAAGCACAAAGGTCAAATTCCCTGAATCATCCATCACAATGATTAAAACCAAAGAACATGGTTCTGATGTGCATCAAAAGATTGTTGAGCTTCACAAAATAGAAAGTGGATGTAAGAAAATAGCTAAAGAATTGAAAATCCCCATTTTGACCATCAGGACAATAATTAAGATGTTATAATCAACTAAAGATGTCATGATTCTGCCAGGAAGAGGACGTGTGTCTATTTTGCCTTAATGGACGGTCAGGATGAAAATTTGAGTGTCCAAAGACTCTTCAAGGATCACAGATGGAGAATTGCAGAGATTAGTTGAGTCTTGGGGTCAGAAAACCTAAAAAAAAAAATCAGACAACCCCTACATCCACACATGTTGTTTGAGAGGGTTTCAAGAAAAATGCTCCTCGCTCATCCAAAAACAAACTCCAGCATATTCAGGTGTCAGACACGACTGGATCTTCAAACGGCACAGGCTTCTGTGGTCAGATGAAACTAAAAAAGGGGCTTTTTGGCAGCAAACCCAGCAGATGTGCTTGGTGCAAACAGGGATGAAGAGTACCCCATGCCTACGGTTAAATATACTGCTGGATCTTGTATGTTGTGGGCCTATTTATTTGCTGGAGGTCCTGGACATCTTGTTCAGATACATGGTATTATGGATTCTATCAAATACAAAAAGATAAAAAATAAAAACCTGACGCCTTCTGCTAGAAATCGTATAATGGGCCGTGGTTGGATCTTCCATCAGGACAACAATCCAAAACAAAAATCAACACAAAAATTAGTTACGGAGCACAAAATGAAGCTTCTGCCATCTGTTATCTTGGCAAAAATGTACAGATCTGAGGTTGCAAAAAGTTTTTAATAACAGGGTGCCAATAATTATGGCCAGAGTGTTTTGGAGAAAAACATTTATTTCATAGTGTGATTTACCCCCACTTTCAATTCTTTTGCTTCAATGAAAGGTTTGAATTTTGCCAATTTTTTGAATGGAAGATCAAAAGGATAAACAATGCAGAATTATTTTTTACAGCCAGTTTTCATCATATTTACCAGGGGTCCCATTAATTCTGAGCACGACTGTATATACGCAGCAAAATCCCCAGTGTTAAATTAACACTGATAGTGAATAATTGAGTGATGATTGAGCATTAGTAAAGACACCTGATGTTAATAAGCCAAATCTCTGAAGGAGAAAACCATAATTTCAAACACTTTAATACTTCCCAGAGAACTACTGAAAACGTTTATTAACAATCTAGTAACTACTATTAACTAAAAGAAATTCTTATTAACGAATTAGTAAGTAATAGCTCACAGATGAAAGTGTTACTAGATACTTCTGTGGGAGTTACTAATTATTTGGATTCTTATTATAAAGTGAAGATCATTGGAACTAATTACTCAAGTGTTTGATAATCCCGTTTTCCTCGGTTTTCCTCCGCTTTAATCTCCACAACCGGAAATGGACGAGCATCCTTGCAGAAAATACAGAACTTATGCGTGCATATAGCCCATTTCAAGTAATATATTGGTAAATGGGTCAGTGACCTATATACCATAAAATGTACCATAAAGTGTTTTTTCAAAAATGTCAAATAACAGGCATAAAAATGGTTGACTTTTGTTCTACTAACTCTCATCTTTATAGAAACATATGTTGTTTGAAAATTTTCAATTGGAATCAGAATTTATGTGACAATTTGTTGTATTAGTGCGTACAATCGTCATATGGTGTGACATGAAAATAATTGTATATAAACTAAAAAAATGATTATACCTTTCTTAAGTTACTCACTTTATCAAAGTAATTTATCATAACTAAACTGTGATCCATTATAGTTTTGTGAAAATTAATTAAATTTGTGTATTATTTTCTAAAACATTGCTCAATGTGAGACCTATGGCGTCAGTCTTTCAACATATTTTCTATTTATTGTGACAAACCTTGCTAGAAAATTATAAAAGTATTTGTGACTCTTGCTGATACTATTTTCTATGTATTCCATGAATATTTTCAGGTTTTATCATTAATAAAGGTATGTTATTTTCACAATTTGGAATGTCACACCAAATGATATAGTGTCACACCATATGATAATGTCGCCATGTGTCAATGCAAACCATGTATTATCCTACTTATTGGTGAGTACTGAATCACTCATAAGGCAAGAAATATTTAACCACTCGTATATGCTGGAAGGTAATATTCAAATTTTATTAATTTACTTGATATTTAACAATAAAACAATTTTTTTTTTTAATATTGTATGAACCATATGAACATATGTTTGTGTATCAAATTTCATTTAAATTCAAAACTGGTCTGCAATATGTATTAATATAAGTAAAACAAACAATTTTTTTATATCATATGAACCGTGAACATACAGCGTAGCTGAGTGGATCCACAAATAAATCAGTTAATCTAGACTCCATTGTACATAAGCCAGTCAAATGTGGAGAGAGTAGCAAACCGTCTACCTTGCTGAGGTTGTGATAAGCCACAAACAACTTCCTGATCTTGATAATAAATGCAGTCTCGCCTATTTGGCCAGACAAAATCATTTTTGTCTCCACGTTGTTTCATGCAGTTCACCTGCAGCCCCTCCATACTTATTGCAACAATTTGTCCCACATATGGTTTTCCCTCATACTAAATTAAGACAAACTGTCCTTCCATGTATCCTTCATTGGAAATGGTGTCTAAATCCTCATCTTGCACGTCTCCAATTGATGCACTTGATTGGGCACATATGCAAACAGCACCTGAGTAGAAGAGCTTCAAAAGGACAGATTTATGTCAGTGACACGATTGTCTTCAGTGATTGCAACAACTAGCTTCTACTCCACCAAATTGGGTTTGCCCAATTTACAAAATGTAGGGTTTATACTGACTGGGCTTGGGGCTCTCTAGTGGGCAAGCTGGATGGAGAAGAAGGCACCTCCGTAGCAGAGCCACCATCACTTAAGTCAATGAAAGAGATTTATTTGTCAGGGAAATGTATGTTTGCAGTGAAATGTTATCACCAGCATGTCCTAAAGTTAGCTAAACATGTTATACTCACTAGGCTCGGGAATCTGTAGTGGGCCTGCTAGGTTGGACAGAGGGCACTTAAGCAGATGGGCCACCACTTCAAAGTCAAAGGAAGAAAATCAAGTATTTATTTATTATTGTAAAATGTAAATAATTTAATGGAAACTCATAATACTTACTCATCACTTGTCTTGTCACCTGGCACCTCATCAGGGAAAACATGGTCAAACTCAAGTTGGTGCAGCTTGTGACAGGTGCACATAACTGGATACTGGCAGAAACAACTAAGATCTCTGTAAAATATCTTTCCTGGAGAAAAAGACAGAACTTGGTGTGTACTGCTGATTCCAGTCACTGGACGCACTGACGGAGGGAGCATTTCATCCATGGTGGAGATCTGCTCTTCTTCAATCCACATGATGGTGACATCCCTCATACAGATCCCTTGGTGTTTGTAGGTCACTGCCTCTGAGAACATACATGTCTGCCTTACGCTTCAGCACTCCTCCCACACCGTCAGGTGCACCCTTCCCATGGGAATGCTCTGAAAAATTCCAGGTGACCCTCTTGAATCCCCATGCATAGGGAATGCTGCTCATGAGGAAGCAGTTTGATCGATTCCGGTACTGGGTTGCTGGCCCATCACTGAGGACATGCAGGGTGTCGATTGCATTTTCATGTCTTCTTCGGAAATCACCAATAATCGGCTTAATGTGTGCCCACACAGCACGCTCATCGTGACGCAAGGACTGGGAAATGGTGGCATAGCACTGGGAGCCACTAACTGAGTAGGCAACTCCAGTATGCATTGTGGCCTGCTGCCTATTGCCACCGAAATGAAAGGCCTGAATTTCAGTGTTGAGTTTGCATGCATAGTTCTCCGAAAAGTCTATGTGTAAGACCATTTCATTAGCATGATGTGTCTGAACTGTTTCACCTGATGAAGCCAGTTTAACTGATGACTCGCAATTGCATTGAGCTTCTGGTTGAACACACCAGTTACTGTCCCCCTCTTCTTTTTCTTCACCCAGTTCTTGTAGCTTCTCTCTCCCGTGTCAGCTGGGTTGTGGTCCTGCAGGTTGGGCTCATCATAACAGCACTTTGTGCACACACACGTTGCATGCATTTTGTATTTTCAGTATCACATGTGATACCTGACAGCAGTGCTGACAGGCTTTTTGTCTTGATCAAGCCTCTTCTTGAAAGGAGCGAGATGTTTACATGTTCCCAGCAGGCACATGTGTTACGATTGCTGGACCTAGCCTCTGTGACATAAAAAGGTTTATACCTTATAAACTGTCTGTAGGACAGGTGCTTTTTTTCACATTTTTGAATGTACAGGGGTTGGACAATGAAACTGAAACACCTGGTTTTACAACACAATAATTTGTTAGTATGGTGAGGGCCTCATTTTGCATCCAAATACAGCACCAATTGACAGATAGAAGTCCTTCACAGTGACCAGAGGGATTATGGGCCGTTCCTCTTCCAGAACAGTGTCCAGGTCACTATATGATGCTGGTGGACTCGCTCCTCCAAAACACCTCAATAATATTCAGATCTGGTGACTGTCAGACCATGGGAGATGTTCAAAGTCACTTTCATCTTCATCAAACCCTTCTGTCACAAGTCTTGCTGTGTGTGTTGGTGCATGATCATGCTGATACACGGTTTGAGCATCAGGTGCTCATGATCCTCCAGAAGGGTTTGGTAGTCCTCGGCAGTGTCGTGTCCATCAAATACAATCAGGATTGTCATGATATTGGAGCTCAAACCATCACTGATCCACCCGTGCTTCACTCTGAAGATTGGCCGCCAGGCATATAGACGTGAAACCTCCAACATTGGCCAGTGTTTCAGTTTCATTGTCCAACCCCTGTAGGTCTTATGAAGGTCATTTAGTGAGGAAGTCAGCACTCGTCTTTGTCATTTCTGTTTCCTGCCTACTGTGTCCTTCTTCCCAGGAAGGACAGTGCTATTTTCATCTAACAGCACGAAGGATTCCACCTGAGCCTTTTTCTCATTTATTAACTTTTTCCTGGCTGACAAGTTGGATTTTTCTCTGACTGTTAGTTTTGTTACTTTTTGCCTCACACTTTGTTTCCTATATTTCTCAGCCCTCTTCTTTTCTTTGCTGACTTTTCTCTGGAGCCTTTTGTTCTGATCCTTCAGCCTCCTTAATGATTTGTTCAGCTTCTTTATCTCTTCAGTGTTTGGGCTTGGTGGTAGTGATGTAGGTGGGCTTGGTGGTGGTATGACCTGGGTCTACCTGGATGTCTCCATCATAGATGGAGTTATCTGGGGGAGTTATGTTGAGTAATGCATTTAAATGTTTTCTTTTGGCTCAATATTTTGTTTGAGAATTTCTCCATATCTCCCTCAGCTTCTCTCTTCTTGACGGTGGGAGAGTCCGGATTCTAAATTTAGGGATCTCTCCCCTTTCTGTTTCTTTTCTTGATATCTGTTAACAGAATGGTGTTAACATTTTAACAGCTGTTCAACATTTTTTTATTCTCTTTGTTTCCTATCTGCGTTCCTCTTAGTTGCATTGCCTACAGTGATGATATTTTAGCTATCATGTATTGCCGGTCTTCAAGAAATCTGCCTCAAGGCAATCAACAGTGAAACCTCCCTCAGACCTTTCCTATTGGTCAGCGAATAGAAACAGACAGTTGTTGTTTACTTTTCTTTTCTTTTCCTCAGCAACTCCTCTCTCTTTGCAGGGTTTGAATTCAGTATCTCTCCCTGTATCTCTTTGTCCTCTCTGCACTTGTCATCATTATCTGCCTCAAGTTGACAAAAGAAAAGGCAATGTATGGTTTGAGACGAAGACAACATTGTTTAGACTTAAACAGCATTCTAAGGTTTCTGTGAAGGGGTCTGCTTTGTCTGTCTGATGAACTAGAAATCTGTATCACAGATACAAATAAACTAAACTAAACACAATCGATGGTGGATAATTACAGCTTTTATGTAATGATGGACCTGAATAAATGTTTAAAAGGTCAAAACATACATTGGACTTTGTTATTTATTGTTATATATGCAGGGAATTACAATTCATATCATATGGTGTGACAATCAAATCATATGGCATGACAGGCAGACATGTCACACCAGATGATGAAGTGTCACACCATATGATGTTTTCTGCACTTAGCACAACATTGAGTCTTGTAGCTACACATTAGCATACTAGCAACATGCTAGCTATAACAAAGCAGCATAGATTTACATATAATTATGACAAAATAATAACATTTCTTTTGCATATTTATAAAAAATGTCACACCAAAAGACATCTGAAAGTGGGACTTTTGTCAGAGTGCCAACAAGATCTGATTTATTGTAAATATAAAAATGATTACTCACCTCAGGTTGTACAACAGCAATACACTGCTAGTTCTGTACAACATTGCTGAAGAAGGTCCTCTCCTTCCCAAGGGTGTCAAAACAGTTGCCCGTTCAAAAATCCCAAAATAGTGTCACACCATATGATTTTGATTTGTGTGACAAAATCTTTTTGATTAGAACTGACTCAAAACATTGTCATCAAAGTCATCAAACTTTTTCAGCGATTTTTATCATATTGTACTGCTGTGTCTATACATGCAGTTTTTATGTCCTGGCGACCAGCAGTGAAAGTGCAGTTCTGACTCTCTGCCCATTCATTTAGATAGGAGCCTGGTCTTGTTAAGTCCGAAATAGCTGCCCGGAGGCGTTGCCAAGATGGTGGCCGAGTTGCACGACTTGCCTAAAAGGACTTTGTTTTAAACCAGCTGAATATAAAAAGTCCAGTGCAAACGTCGTTACTCCCGCTCGTCGTCGTCAGCTGTCAGTCACAGTTGCTAGGCGACAAGAACAATCCTCCGCAGGCTAGACCGGTCCGAGCGCTTCAGGTGCGCACTTTGATATGGGACGCAGTTGTAGTTAGCAACGATTTGTTAATGTGACAATGGACCAACATTTTGTTACTTTAATTTTTAAAATAACCAGTGGGAGAATGTAAGGAACTTCATACTGCGTTAGTATTCGTGTACAAATGTGAAGTAGCCTACTTTTTCCCCTCACAGGACAACAACACTACACATTTTACATTAAACGACACAAAAGTATATTATAGTTTAAATGTATCAACCGTGCAAACACTCAGAGACCCTTACAAAAATAAACGAATATCCAGAGCCATGAATTATCTTTTGTGTACACATTTAACATTGCATAAAATAATGAAATAATGAATAATAAAGAAATACAATGTACAAGAAATACAATACAAGGCTATAAAGCCGTTTTCGCATTTCCACTTGACAAAACCATGCAATGCTGACGAATGAGTTAAGATGAATAAGAAAAACAAAACAACTTTTGGCTGTTAACACTGGTTTCTCTGGCTATTTGAGTAAATGAAAACAATACTTTTACATTTAAATGTGAATTTGCCGTCCACCACCGAACTCTCGGCCACCCATTTTTTAAAAAAAAATAAAAATGCTGTCGTCACCCGTGCAATGATTTATGGGTTAGGATCGGGTAGGATAGTCCGCGAAGTGTCCATTTATGTATCCTTCCTTTCACGGGGAAATGAAGGGTGCATTTGGCGTCGCTTTTGGGAAGCCTTCGTCGCGCTGCAATGACGCAACCAGCCTTCGAATACGGCCTTCGGAGGATGCATAACTCAATTGGGACAGCCTTCATCCCACCGCGATGACGCAATCGGCCTTCAAATGTGGCCTTCGCGGATGCAGCCTTTGAATTGGGACGTCCTTCGTCGCGCGGCTGTGACGCAATCGGCCTTCAAATACGGCCAAGCGTCCCTATAGTATCCAGCTGCAGACCCGCAGCACACCAGTTTCAGAACCCCAGTGCCAGAACCGGAAGCAAGGGGCGGAGTTACGTTCCAACGAACAACAGCGCCAGGGTCGTAAGTGAGGGGCGGCGCTTAGGTTTGAAACCTAATAACGCCACCTAACGCAATATGGAGGGTATTTTACGCATGAAACCGCTTATTGAACATGTTATGATGCTACATTACAGTACAATAAGCATTTTAAAACATTGATTTTGTGTAATATATAATTGTATATAGTTTCAGTTATACGTTGTTATTGTATTATGAGTTACTTCCTGATCATGATGGTGAAAAAATAATACTTGAAACTTACGGGCATTTTAATGTATAACAGTTTAATAATTTTAGCTAGCTAAGTAGTTTATACATATGCTACTTGTAGATTTACGAAGGTAAGACCTTTGTTTTTTTTTTTTTTTTAATGAAGAAGCTAACTTTGTATAATAAATAAGCTTTGAAAGATATAAAACAAGACAAGCATTGGAGATTTTCAAAATTATACACAATTCGATAACTCATTAGACCTCTGTGATATTTTATGTTCTATTTATTTA